CTATTAAAGTAGTATCAATTATTAATAAAAACAAAACACCTCCTTTAGATAGTTGACAACTGAATGACTGATATTCCATTATTTTAGTTAGTTGGTAATGTAGTATCAATTATCAACAAAAAAAATTATTTGTTTTTCGATAGTTAAGATGAAACTTACTTCGTCAACCGAATGATCTTTTCTTTGTTATTCAGTTAATGGTTAAAGTAGTATCAATTATCAACCAAAAAAAAAAAAATCTTTTTCTAGTTAAGATGAAACTTATTTCATCTACTGAATCATCGTTATTGCATAATTTCGTTATTTCTGTCAACTAATAAAGTCGTATCAATTATCAACAAAAGTCTCTTTTTGGCACTTACGATGAAATTTATTTCATCAACCAAATGATCGTTATTTCAGTTAATTGTGTTAAAGCAGTATCAAGTATCAATGACAACAGAATGACTGTTATTCCATAGTTGCCAAAAAGTATCTTCAACGGAGATGTCAATTCCTATGTGGCAGTTATAACGTTTAAAAAAATTAGAATTTTGTCCAATCAAACTTTTTTAAATCTTCATGGATTGACATATTTTCTCTTGTTGTCAATTTTGACAACAACATTTTTTTATTTAAAATAAACCATAAAACACCACATGTTGCTTCTTTGTTGTGATGAGTGAGGATCCTCGTCGGATCCTCTTTGTGAGGATCTCAGGGATCCTCAAATCACATCCGTTCATCGTACATTGTGTAATTAGAAATCATTGTAATTTTTTTTTTAAATTGAATATAAACAACACCCGATGACATGATGTACGATGAATCGATGTAATTGGATGATCTTCGGGATCCTCACAAAGAGGATCCAGTTAGGATCCTCTCTAGTGTGAATTCATCATTAACAATGGTCCATCTTTGCTTTAATTAATATAAGACATAATATTTTGACATAGGGCTATTAACTTTTAGTTGTTATCCTAAATTTGACATCTCTTATGGAGATGTTCTAAATAGTATCAATTATTAAAAAAAAAAAAAGTTCCTCTTTTTAATAGCTAAGATGAAATTTATTTCATCAACTAAATGACACTTATTGCGACCATCATTACAAACACACAGAAGAAACCCTCACCATAAATATTTATTGTTGACCTTAAATATATATTGTTCTTATATGCACTAGCGTGGAAGAGATGAAATCCAATGTCCACCAATGTCCAACAAGTGACACTTGCCAATACATAAGGAAGTTTGTTAAGGATAGAATTATCTTAGAATTTTAGAGATAAGGTATTACCTTAGAGATAAGCACCGTTCTAAAAATTCTTGCCTAGAGCTGCCTAGGAGTTAGGCGATTAGTCACTATCCTAATTAATCCTTAGGCATTTGAAAATTAAGAAATAACATCTAGACTTGTGTAGAAGCTTGCTTAGACCACCTAGGCACCCCGCCTAGAATCGTCTAGACACCTGCCTAGGTCGCGACTGTTACTTAGACAAAAAAAAAATATAACTTTCATTTTGCATTTTACTTTTTTCAATAAATTGTAGGAGATTTGTTGAATACTTAGATGAACACACATTATATGCTTATTCCACATGTTTTCATTATGTTATAATATTTTATAATCTATTGTCATTTCATTTTACAGTTTATGTATCCCATGAAATTATGTATTTTTTAAGTATAAGTAGACATTTATTTATACGACATATTTTAAATTTACTTAAATCCGTTAGGTCCCCACCTAGCTGCCTAGATGCTATGCCCCAGTCAACTGCTCGACTAGTGCCTAACGGTTTTTAGAACCTTGGAGATAAGGATCTTATCCGTTTATACAAGTCTTGTAATATAGAGATTACCTATCATCTCTATGTAAGATTTGTCTTGATCAGTAAGAAAACATTTTCCCTCTCTCTCTCTTTCTCTCGTTATTCCTGCCTCTTACACAAACACCATTACTACAATTTACAAAGTTCTACAATCTAAAGATAATTTATATTCTCCTCCCTTCTCCTATCTCAGTTATGTGAAAATCTGGTTCTATTCTTCAAGAAAATCGACAAAAGATCAATCATTCTTCTAGAGCATACCAACTATTTGATTAAGTGTTCAATTGACCTTTTCTTTTTTTTTTTTTTTTTTTTTGAACAAATTGGAGACTGTGACTCAGCTTCAGATTGTTCAATTCCCTTTTACAAGTTTGATTAATATTGTTTCTACATCTGTTATAGTAAAATTGGATGATTCAAAATATCCTACTTGGAGCTGTCAAATAAAGCTACAATTAGAAGATCATGGAATTTTGGGTTTCCTAGATGGTTCAAAAAAGTGTCCAAGATGCTTTGTAGATGATTCAGATGTTGAAGGTTGGAGAATGATGATTACTTAGTATGGAAGATGCACGATCGTGCTCCTATGCAACTCCTCACTACTACATTGTCCTTAAATGCAATCTCTTGTATAAGTGGAGCAATATTTCTCATTAAATATGGGTCATCTTAAAGAAAAGTGCTCTATAGTGTAAGAAAGACAAAACATCATTTAAGTGAAGACTAACCTACAAAACATTAAGAAGGGTTCTGATTCCGTCCTTGAGTACTTGCAGAAGATCAAGGATGCAAGAAATTATCTTGCTGCTGTAGCAGTCAATTTTGATGATAATGATGACATTATCATTCTAGCCTTGAAAGGTCTTTCTGCATAATACAACACATTTCGTTGTGTTATCAAAGGAAAAGAAAATGCCATCTCTCTTAGACTTTTGATCTCAGTTTCTTGCAAAGGAAGTTATCATAGGACAATCTTTTGATTCATTCACGTCATTTGCACTGATATAGTTGCCAATAATCAGTCTATCAAAGGCAAGGCTGGTTCTTACAGACAATGAAGCTACCTCACATATGATCTTTAAGCTTACTAATCTCAAACATTATCATTCTAGCCTTGAAAGGTCTTCCTGCATAATACAACATATTCGTTATGTTATCAAATGAAGAGAAAATGCCATCTTTCTTCAACTTTCAGTCTCAGTTTCTTACAGAGGAAGCCATCATAGGATAATCTTTTGATTCATCCATGTCATTTGGCACTACTATGGTTGCCAATAATCAGTCTATCAAAGGCAATGTTGGTTCTTACAAACAATGGAGCTACCTCATATATGACATTTGAGCTTACTAATCTCAATTTAACCACACCATTTCATGGGCATGGTACCATAACCATTGCAAGTGATGCATGCTTGGGAATTTCTCACATTGGCTCTTCAAAGTTGCTAGTCCCTCATTGTGCTTTTGAATGAAGAAAGTTTTACGTGTTCCTAAGTTGTCACAACATTTGTTATATATCTATAGGTTTTGCAAAGATAATAAGTGCATATTTATGTGTGATGACATTTGGTTTTGGATCCAGGACAAGATCACGAGGAGAATCCTCCTCAATAGACTACGAAGAGCCGGTATTTACCCTATTGCATTTTGCAATCCACAAAAGTTGATTCCCACATCATTTCCTTCGCATGTATACTATCTTGCAAAACTAGTTAGTACAAGTCTATGGAATAAAAGACTATGATATATCAAATGCAATTACTTCTGCAATTCTTCCTCAAACTTAGGTTTCAACATCACGAGATACTTGTCAAACTATATGTACATATTTAGTAGGGAAATTTCCAAATTTACCTCTCTCTTATCTTGCAAAAAAAATTTGTACATCCTTTAGAGGTCATACATAGTAATGATAAGACTTGCCTCTTTGTTGTCATTTGAAGGATTTAGGTACTATGTTAGTTTCTTACATGAATGTACTTGATTTATAGGGATTATTCCAATGAATAGTAATGGAAGTTTGTGAGTCTTAGAGTTTTACGCCATGATTTTCAGGGCACAAAATGCAAATCCCCCATGTTAGGAATGACAACATCATGCTCTTCACAAAACTTTTATACATCATCAAGCAAGTCCCCAAAGTCATCATCTTTCATGCTCTTCATAAAAAATAATTTCATTATTTCATATCAATAATCAATAACCAGAGCCGGTCCTGAGTTTTTGGGTGCCCAGTGCAAAAGCTCAAAAAGTGCCCTTTTTTTAATACGAAAACATATGTTAAAAAAATATATTTAATGAGGGCTGGAACCTAGTCGAAGCTGGGGGGCTAGGCCCTCACGTCCAAATTTTATTACTTGAGAAAATATACAACCGGGGGGTGGGGGGGGGGGGGGGACATAGTACCTAAACCCTGACAATCAAAAGTACAATCATATACAACCACCTAGCAAATCTCCTTCAAATTTTAACCTTTTAAGAAATTGTCTTCTGGCATTTTTTGAAGCAAAATCATCAATTATATCACCATACTCCAAGTCTTCAATCTCATCCTTTTCAATACATAAGATTGCTAATCCATTTAGCCTGTCTTGAGTCATAGTGGTCCACAAGTAAGATTTTAATAATTTCAATTTTAAAAAACTTCTTTTTGCAGATGCCACGGTCAAAGGTACAGTCAACAGTGCACGATAAGCAATCAAGACATTAGGAAACATGTCAGTTTCTTTTACAAAGTTTGTTATTTCCACGGATGTCCAAGGATTATTAGAGAGAAATGCTTATTCATGTAACATCATTTGCAAAACTTGTAACATCATTTGCAAAACCTATAATTCGGAACATAAGTCGACTCCATCTACATCCATGTTAAGGTAACATCATTTGCAAAACCTATAATTCGGAACATAAGTCGGCTACATCTACATCCATGGTATTTCCATGTTTCAAATGTGCTTCAAGATTCATACAATTTTCTTTTAGCATTTGATCATCTAATGAAATTTACTTCGGTGCATCAAACAAGAAGCTAAAAATAGATTCAAAAGACTTTAACTGTTCAAACTGTGTTTCAGTTGAGAAATAGCAATATCCACTATAACAAGAAAATAATTTGTGCTAAATGATTTTTCAGTAGACTATTGTTCCCTCTCATTACCATCAACTTCATCATGATGTCTTTTTCTAGGTTTGACGTTTAGTTTGAAAAACAGGATCAATTTCTGAATCAAGTGCAATTTCTTTAGCATCATTCATAGCAGAAACAAAACCAATTTCTCTGTAGTTTTCAAAAAATGTAACAAGTGCTTCTAATGCCTTTATAGCAACATCAAGACACATGTCTTCAGATTGTAATTTTGTGTTCACCATGTTAATCTTCAACAACAAATAACCAAACTTAATACAAAATCAAAACTTGAAAGTTCTCCTGATGCTAAACATTCTGCATCCCTACTCAATTGGGGATTTTCAATAATTTCCACCAACTTAAACAAAGCATTTCTAACCTGGGATACTTGGGACTTAATTGCTTTAACACTTTTAATGTAACTTTCTCATCGAGTAGTTGACAATGACTTCAAAGTTAAACCACCAATATGTTCAAGAAAAATATTTCAACGCTTTGTTGAGTTGGAAAATATAGTATATATGCATTGACACACTCCAAAAAATGATTTTGCTTTAAGGCATGAACTTGTCATATCACAAACTATTAAATTAAGACAATGAGAACCAAATGGCATGTAAAAGGCTCTGGGATTTATGTCTAGCAATCTTTTCTGGACACCTTGGTGTTTCCCTCTCATGTTAGATCCATTATCATAACCTTGTCTCCTAACATCATCAATATCAAGATCAAGAGACTTTAAGACATCTTGCAACTCATTAAAAAGTCCTTGTCCTGATGTATCTTCCACACTGAAAAACTCCATGAAATACTCTCTTATATTTATTGACCTACTTGACAAGTCAACACATCTCAAAATTAAAGTTATCTGTTCCACATAACTTGCATCAAGAGTACAATCAAGAATGACATAAAAAAATTTGGCTTCTTTTACTTTCTTAATAATTGGGGTTTTGACTTTTGAAGCTAAAATAGTTATCAACTCATTTTGGATTTTATGGCTCAAATACTGATGATGAATCTCTTTATTCTCAACGAGTCGAAAATGCTCTTGCATTAATGGATCAAACTCCGCAATTATTTCAAGTAAACCTAAGAAGTTGCCATTAGAGTCTTCATAAGGTCTTTCATTTGTTTCATGAAATGCTAAATTACGTATGGCAAGACATTTCACCACAGCAATAATTCTAATCATCACTTGTTTCCAATGATTTGTCTCTTTCTTGATTCGCAATTGAAATTCTTCATCAATTTCAATTGTCTGATTTTTTTTGTCAATCTACTTTTCAACTCAACCCAAGTTCTCGAATTAATGAGATGCTTTTTACTCTTTTCATGTTGGTCAAGCTTCTCACCAAGATGTCTCCAATCACTAATTCCATCTTTTGCTACCTCACTTTTTGAGGCAATTGTTTTAAACAATTTACAACAAAAGCAAAAGACTTTATTCAACTCTTTTGAGTACACGAGCCATTTTCTATCATAAATTTCACTCATTTGTAATTTTCGATCATAGTAGTGTGAGGAAATTTTCTAGAGAGTTTGTCCTTAGGATAAGTGAGATTAGTTTCTCAAATTGGTCCCTTTTCTACAAGTAATTCTCTCATTTCTGCAGTAAGACCATTCCAAACTATTGGATCATAAATGTTTAAATGGAAAATAGGTTCAGGAGATTCAATATTTTCTTCTACACCAGTATGATCATCATCAACATTTAAATCCACATCACCACTAATTTCATGATCTTGAGACTCATCACTAACATTTTCCTCTAAATCATCACCATTTTCTTAGTCATGAGACTCGTTATTAACATCTTTCTTCACATAACCACCAATTTCATCATCTTGAGACTCCCCAACAACATCTTGTGACTCTTCACCAACATCATTTTCTCTCAAATTTTCAACCGACTCATTCTTTGTAGAAATTTTTTTTATTAAGAGATCCTCTTAAACTTTCGACAATTTTGTTATCCTTTGCCTTTTTTTTCCTTTTCATATTACCAGAGAGTTGTTTCCTAAAAGACATGACTTTGATAATTTGTTTGCAAAAATTACCTACACATGATATAACAAAAATTTCCTATTAAAATTATCATCAACAATTCAAAAATTATCTACATATGATAATCAAGAATTCAATTCATCAACAACAACAATTTTATACATCATTATCATATAATTCTATGTCACTTGCAAAATTTATATTAAATTATGAATTAGTAATTCAAATTTAAAAATTAGTTTACCTCGGGTTGGTGAATGTAAGGACATGTGATTGTCGGGTTTGGAAGCTGCTGCTTGCAGCAGCGCAGCAAATTATCAGACGGCAGGGGTCAGGGCAGTGGAGTAACAATGGGGTGGGGAATTGTTAAGGGGGGGGGGGGGGGGGGACTAGGGACGAGTGGTCCCCTTGTGTTGTTATTTTTTATTTTTTAATGCCCAAAACTTGGGTCGGTCCCATTATGTTTTTTTTTTTTTTTAAATGCCCAAAATTTGGGCCGTTCCCTTCATTGTCAGACTTAGGCCTCTTGCCCTCCAATCCCTATTTTAGGCTCTGGACAATTTTTTTTTAATATTTTTTTAATACCTAATTATTTGGATTTTTTTATTTTTTTGGGTGCCCCTTTCAATTTTGGGCCCTGAATAATGGCCCTGGTTGCACTGGGCCTAGGCCGGGCCTGTCAATAACCAATAACCATATTAGTGCATTACTATATGATTCTATACCAATTAAACAAAGTTCGTATTAAATAATTAATTAGGGTTAGGGATTATAAATTTAGGACTTAAAAAATTTACCTAAAGAATGGCTTTGAAGGCTAAAAGCTGGCGACTGGGCTGGAGAGTCGAGAGTGGCTAGAAGCCTAGAAGCTTGCGGCTGGAGCCTAGAGAGTGGCTGGCAAGTGGCAGCAGCAAAAAGCTTGGTCTTTCGTTGCTAGGAATTTGAGGAGAGCACTGCAATTTTGCTTTCTGATTGGCTGATATAGTAGAAAGAGGTTGAGAGGGAAGGAACGGGTGACACGCGGTCCTATATATATATATATATATATATATATATATATATATTTCAAACATATATCAAAACGGCACCGTTTTGTTTCATTTTTAAAATTTTTTTTTACCAGTACCAAAACAATGTCGTTTTGGCATGGATGTTTTAAAAAGAAGGTTTTTCAGTTCTACTGCTATGATGACCAGAGACAGGGAGGGTTGAACCAGTTGGGTTTTCCGATGAGGGGAGAGGCTGAACCAACACTCCAATCGTGTTTTCCAACAAGGGGAGTGGTGGCCGCCATTCCTCACCCTCGCGTAGCTTTGCCAGTGATGGTGGTGGTGAATACATTAGTCAAAAGTTTCAACTTTTTCTGTTGAAACATGTTATTTTACATTAAAAAAAAAATCATGTCTATATATCCCAGAACAAAATGGTTTAGTAAAAAGAAAGCATAAACACATTGTAGAAATTGCTATGGTCTTACTTCAAACTACAAGTCTCCCATCCAAATTCTAGTTTCATGCTTGTGCTGCTGCAACATACTTAATCAATAAAATGCCTTCTACCACACTGAAAACAAAGTCTCATTTTCTTTTGTTGCACGATCAAGTTCCAGATATCAATCATCTTAAAAATTTGGATGTGAATGTTTTCCATTACTTAAAGCCTCTGACACATGCAAATTTCAACCTAAAACCACAACTTGTGTCTTTCTTGTATATGCAGGACAATATAGGATTTATCTATTTAGATCAGTTCCCAAATAAGTTTTATATTTCTAGACATGTTCTTTTTTACAAAACAAATTTTTCCCAATTTACATAAAAATATCACGGAAAACATCATCACAACAATCATTAAATAATCAATTTTGTTGTATAATCAAGTGTTATCACCTTCATCGCAACCACATTCATCCTCATCTAGAGTTTTAGAATTTTTTTTCTTGCATATGCATCTAGAGCCTCAGACTCTTTGACTAACATTTCATCTAGAGCCTCAAAGTTTACTCATACAACTGCATCTAGTGCACAAAGTCTGTAACTACACCAATGCCTTTGTTTCAATTCCACCCTTTATTCCTACTTCATAGTCTTCTACCAATGTGGGTCATGATTTTCAACACCAACAACTAACTGTTGTTTTACCATTACCTATGAATTTACATCCAATGCAAACAAGGTCAAAAAGTAGGATTATTGAAAGACATGCTTTTTCTGCTACTATAATCTCTTCCAGTTTGTCTACAACAAAGCCTAAAACCTTTAAAGCAACCTCTAAAGTGGCAGAATGGCAATCTTTTATGAAAGAAGAGATTGATGTCCTTCATTCTCAAGAAGCTTGGTCTTAGATTACTCTTCTACCTAAGAAGAATTTAGTTAGGTGTAAATGGGTTTGTAGAATCAAGAAGAGTGCAGATGGCTCTATTGTAACATCCCACATCACCCAGGGGAGTGATCGTTATATGTATATTCTCATCCTTACCTAGCACGAGGCCTTTTGGGAGCTTATTGGCTTCGGGTTCCATCGAAACTTCGAAGTTAAGCGAGTAGCGCGCGAAAGCAATCCCATGATCGGTGACCCACTGGGAAGTTCTCAGAAACAAAACCGTGAGGGTGTGGACGGGGCCCAAAACGGACAATATCGTGCTACGGTGGTGGAGCGGGCCCGGGATATGACAATTTGGTATCAGAGCCAATCCATGGGCAGAAGTGTGTCGACGAGGACGTTGGGCCCCTAAAGGGGATGAATTGTAATATCCCACATCACCCAGGGGAGTGATCGTCATATGTATATTCCCATCCCTACCTAACACGAGACCTTTTGGGAGCTCACTAGCTTTGGGTTCCATCGGAACTTCGAAGTTAAGCGAGTAGCGCACGAGAGCAATCCCATGAGTGGTAACCCACTGGAAAGTTCTCATGTGAGTTCCCAGAAACAAAACTGTAAGGGTGTGGTCGAGGCCCAAAGTGGACAATATCACGCTACGGTGGTGGAGCGAGCCCGGGATGTGGTGGACCCCGGGCCGGGATGTGACATCTATAGCAAGCATACAACCAGATTAGTTGCCAAAGAATTTAGTTAAGAACAAGGGGTAAAATGATGAAACATTCAGTGCAATGATCAAACCAACAACAATTAGGTTAATTCTTGCTCTAGCAACTCAATTCAAATGGTCTCTTTCGCTTTGGGCTTACCATTCCCTCACGGTTTTGTTTTTGGAAACTCACGAGCAACTTCCCAATGGGTCACCCATCATGGGATTGCTCTAGCCCTTTTCTCGCTTAACTTTGGAGTTCCTACGGAACCCGAAGCCAGTGAGCTCCCAAAAGGCCTCGTGCAAGGTAGGGATGAGAATATACATATAAGGATCACTCCTTTGGGCGATGTGGGATGTTACAATCCACCCCCCTTAGGGGCCCGACGTCCTCGTCGGCACACCACGGCCAGGGTTAGGCTTTGATACCAAATTGTCACATCTCGGTCCGGGACGGATCACGCCCCGGGGCCCGCTCCACCACCGTAGCACGATATTGTCCGCTTTGGGCTTACCATTCCCTCACGGTTTTGTTTTTGGAAACTCACGAGCAACTTCCCAGTGGGTCACCCATCATGGGATTGCTCTAGCCCCTTTCTCGCTTAACTTCGGAGTTCCTACGGAACCTGAAGCCAGTGAGCTCCCAAAAGGCCTCGTGCAAGGTAGCGATGGGAATATACATATAAGGATCACTCCTCTGGGCGATGTGGGATGTTACAGTTAGATGTTTAATTTTTTTTTTTTTTTTGCATGGTGTTCTTAAGAAG